CGCGACCGCTGCCCCCTCGTCTCGGGGACGCGCAGAGGTGCTGGGGGTGTGCGGTCACCCCGTGCCCATCACGGCCAGCGTGGCCCTGCCCGGGGCTGGCTCCGGGTGCTGCTGCCCGGCCTCAGCGCGGTGTTTCACCATCAGAAGTTGCCTTCTGCTGGGGTGTCCTCGGCGCGGGTGTCTGTCCTCGGTGTGGGTGTCTGTCCTCGGCGCGGGTGTCTGCGCATGGCTCCAGGCCTCTGCAGGTTTCAGAAACAAGTGATCCCATTAGCACAACCTTTGTGAACCAGTGATGGCTTGTGTTCCCTCTCCCACTCAGAACAGGGCTCTAACAGCATTAATGAAACATTAGAGTTTTAATTACACCATTATCCTATTTATTTTTATAAATAATTCCAAAGCAGTCATTAAAGTTTGTGAACTTAAGAGTAAATGACTTAAGGGAAAGAAATCAGCTTCTCAATCTTGTTATTATCTATTGTACAATCTCCCTGGGATGCTGTTGGGAAACTAGCAGAGTTGTTTCTGTTGCTGTTGTTAAGATGATTCATTTACTTGCAGGGTGGTAACACGCTGCTCAGCTCCCTACTTGAAACGTCTGTGTCAGTGGGACGGCGCCGCAGTGCGTCAAAGCGGCGTTGTGTCCCCCCCTCAGCCCCGTACCGAGGTGCCCGGGCCGAGGGGAGCGGCAACGGCCCTGCGGGAGGAAGCACCTTGCAGTTGTTCTGCACAGGGCAGGCTCTCCTCCAGCCCCGACCTTCCACAGCTGTTCTCATCCCAAAGCTGCAGGATCTTCCAAAGACAAATTTTGGGCTCAGCTGCAAAGAGCCTGTCCTTGGGGCGCTCTGTGAGCCCCCTTGGCTTTTTCCTCCCTCTTTCTGCCACTGCACAGAAAGCGTGGCTGTTACTGATGCTCTCGGGTGGATTCCTGTGTATTTGAAATAGCCTGACGTGGACCAGAACTGATGAAAGCACTGGACCAACCAAAACAAATTACCTGGTGTTTGTTGCAACTGGTATTTGCAGGACTCGTGCAAGTATTTGGTGTTGTATGGGTTGGAAAATAAATTCTCCCTGAGCGCACGAGGGGAGCAGGAGCGATGCAAGGAAAGGGCGCTCGGGGTGGGGGGAGCTGCGTGCGGACTCTGCCCTGCCTTGTCTCTTGCTGCCTCTTTACAAGAGCAGCTCTGATCTCGGGGAAATCTGGTACGTACTGGGATCTAGTTACGCTGCTTTCTGTCACAGTTTTAATAAGGAAGGTAATTGCAGAGAGCCCTGAGCAGGGCAGAGGCTCGACAATGTCACTTTTGCTGTGCTCTCCCCACAGAACCCAGACATCGTGTTGGTGCACTACCTGAACGTCCCTGCCATTGAGGACTGCGGGAAGCCATGCGGCCCCATCTTGTGCTCAATAAACACAGACAAGAAGGAGTGGGCAAAGTGGACAAAAGAGGAACTCATCGGACAGCTCAAACCGATGTGTGAGTATCTGGAGGCTTTTTTGCTCTTTCACTTTATAGAGGGTTAGCTTGCAGTACAGTGTCTCGCTGCCGCCCGCCATCGCCGTGAAGGAGACATCTGTCACCGTCAAACTCACCTTGCACCTGCGTTCGATTCCTTTCCTCCCAATATCGAGCACTTTGGGATGCGTGGGAACGAGAGCTGCCCAGACTGCCCAGACAGGGCCGTGTCCCCTCCACGCACTGGGAAAAAACTCTGCCTACGGTCTCGTGTTTGCAAGAGCCGTTCGTAGGCACCTGCTCACGCGCAGGAGCCTTCTCAGCGCTGGCAGGCAGGTGACCCGGGGCTCAGTGCCGGGTCGGGTGAGCCGCCACTGCTGGAGCCCAGCGCTTCGGGCGGGTGTCATTCGTTCGCTGCAGCTCTGAACTTCACAGTCTGAGGAGCAGGCCGGGGAGGTTTGCTCTGCAAACAGGCAGTTCCTCGGACCTCTCTGCATCTGCCTGGAGTGTAACGTTTTCTCTCGCGTCGCCGTGACCTTGCGTGTCTTCCCCTGGAGAACACGTCCCAGTGTGCATGCAGATGCCTTTTTTGCAATGAGAGAAGGACGAGGCATAGCATGGGTCTGTAAGCAGGAGAACATTAACTGCAGGAGCCACAATGGCAAATCTAGGTCCTTTCATCTGAGTCAACAAATACCAGTTCTGCTTTTCTGCCTCACCCCTGCCCGCAGCGGAGGCTGGTGTCATGCTCAGCTTTCCATAATTGGAGGTCGCAGACACGAAGCACGTTCTGATGTGTCTCAGCCATCAGTGAAAGATCAGTCTCACGCTGACCGCAGCATTAGTAATCCGAGTTTGCACTGCTCCTTTGATGCATCCCGAGCTCTGCAGGCCCATGTATTCCTTTTCCACACAAAGTTGGAGGGCAGAAGATAAGCAGAAGAGAAGAGAGAAAATGACACATTTGCTAAACAGAATATTGCCCCGGGGACCGATAACCTTAGACAGAAATAGAAGATGTTGAAGGTGTAGCTGAGACTGGACAAGTACCTTAACATTAAACAGGAGAGGAAGTGGCAGCCTGTTAAAAAATCTGCAGTGCATCAAGAAAATTATGTGAAAACTACAACAAACTCGCCGTAAATTTAATAACACTTGGCTCTTTTATGTCTCAGGAGGGAAGAGTGAAATTCTGCACAATTATTCAGAGTATATATGCATGTACACGTCTCTGTTTATGGGTACATATCCTAGGAAACACATCCTTAGAAATGTAGCTAAAATAAAAGCTTTAGATTCTGATCAGACCTAGAAAACAAAGAGGACACAGATAACCATGTTAGGGAACACAGAGGGGCACTGCTCGCCAAGAAGCCATCACATTTGGTTCCAGTATTGGGTGTGCCATGAAATCCTGCAGCCAAGCACATTAGTTTCATCACATTTTTGCATTAATCACATTCTTTCACAGACTTCACAGTTTGATTGCCTGATGTTTCCAAATTTCTCTGCCCTAAAGCAGATTTGTCAATGACTTAATCAAAGTGTTGTGCGTGGTGTCGCTGGTGAAGTGACAGTCTCACCCTCTTACCTGTTCTGTGTTGCAGTTCATCTAGTTTTATTCCCCTGGTCTTGGAGCTGTGGGAGGCTTTTGTTGGTTTTGTTTTCTCGGTTGCCATTTTCCATAAGAACTTCACATTTCAGACAAGCTAGTGTTGATAGAGCCAGGCTGTGCCTGGAGGTCCAAGGCCAAATGCTGTACCTGCAGGGAGGTGTCTGCATCCAGTTTCAGACCACTGGTGTCATTCAGAACTAGGAGATGCTGGTACTAGTTCTGCCTTTGGGGAAAATGCCGCCTCCTGGTCGGAGGTTGGTGACAGTGTCCAGTTCTTGACTCGCTGAGAATAAGTGCTGTTTGTTCAAGTCCTGTTCAGCCTGGGCCAGAGTCAGGTGTTAAAGCTTTTGACCTCTGTGTTGAAGGTTTTCTGTCAGAATCTCAGATAGCGGAGAGTCAGTGGTGTGGCAGCCAAAGGCTGGGAGCACGTTCTCTTGGCCGTGTATGCCTGGAGAACTACAAGTGATGTGGCAGATGGCTGGCAGGGAGAGAGGCATCGGTCTGAGAGTCCGAGCCAGATAAATATATCAAACTGGTTTTCCTGAAATGCAGAGAGACCCTGACTGGGATGAGCAGGGAGTTTGTTCACGTTTCTTGCACCCATAATTCACTCAGCCCCCTCTTCCTTCCCCGCCGCATCGTTCCACCATCAGTCCAGACTCAGCAAGAGTTCAGCAGCCCCCGGGACGAGCCCAGGCTCCTGGGCCCCGACCGCGTCTCCCGGCGGGCAGCGCCCAGCCTCTGACTGCTGCGCGGTGGCTCCTCCTGCCCTCATCTCGACTGAGTCCTCTGCGGGCCCAGAGCTGCTTGACTGGCCTCAGGGGTGGTTTCTCCTGATGTTGTGACTGTGCTTGTGCTGGTGGTTATGGATGAGGAAATAACCTTTTCCAGGTGGCCGTATGGCTCTGAGAGCTTTATGGAAACACCGTTTCGTTCCAACCTAGCTGGGCTGCAAACTGATTAGGAGACTGAAGTTAACCCACCTGAACATCCGTGGAAGGTAAATAGTCGCTGCAGATGCTCTGAGGATTTGGGGTTTTTTCAACATCTTCAACTGAGTTGAGACTGTAAATAACAAGGTAATCAGCCTGTCTCCAGTTTTCAGGGCTTTGGATTTTCAGTTTTTGTCACCTACCTTCACGCTGGGACATCCGTGACCTCCTGCTTGTCCTGCCTGGACTGTCACTGTTGGCTTGTCAGACCTGGGTCTGTCAGTCCTTGAGAGCGAGGCGGACAAGCCTGGAAGGGCTGGACACTCTGTTCGTGACCTCCAGCAGGAGGATTACTCCCTCCGTCCAGGCTGGGAGGTGGGCGCCGTGTCTTCCAGGTGTAAGCGTGGTCAGGGAGCACTGTGAAGCCTCCATGGAAACGTCCCACTGCTGATGGAAGATCTGCAATAATCTGGCTGTCAGCAGCGTCCAAACTGGTCGTCTGAATCAAAAGGGTCGTCATGTGTGTTGCCTCTGTCTGAATGCAACCTTTCATGCAAAATGAAGGGCAATAATACATTAAAATTCTGCCGGAATGTTGTCTGAGACACCTGTAAGTCATTTCAGGATGCCTGGTATGAAGAATGGGCCTCAATTTGGCATTGCTTTCAATTTTTCCCCCCCTCTTGTGCCCCGTTATAGTTGTGCTTTGAGATTTCTCTGAACAGATTAGCAGATGTCCTTAGAGGCATCTGGTGGTAAAAGCAAAATGCAGTGGCAGAATCCAGCACAGCAGAATTCTGTATATAAACTCCATATGATCAGCAAATCGTGGGCCAGCTCATGTTGGGGGTTTCTCCAAATCATCCCCTTTTGGCTTTCTCATCCCTCAGCTGGCAAAGTATGAGTTACAAGCTCACAGCTGGTGCTACGTTGCAATCCTTGTTTCGGGTCCACTATAATTAAGAACTATCTTTCTTTCGGAAAAAAGCTTTTTTCATTCCTCTGCTGCTTGGAAACTGATTGCTCCTGCCCGTGCCACCCGCTCGCAGCCACAGCTGGGGAAACTGGAGGTTTCACGTGGCACCCGTCAGACTTAACACCTTGGGGCAGAGGCAGCTCTTCCCTCTCTCTGGAGTCACCAACTCTCTCTGTTGTGTAAACGAAACCATCAGGGCTCTTGGAGGTGACCTGAAACTGCATCCCCGTGTCGTCACAGCTGGAGAGGGCATCAAACACTTGTAGCCCAGAACAAAGTTTAAATAGCAGTAATCGGCATTAATATGGTTTGAAGAACAGAGCTGTTGCATCTTTTTATCTCGACTTAAATTTGGGTTCAGTAATTGTGTTGAAGGCTTTTATATATTTAATCTTAAAAGATCAGTTGTACAAAAATGCTGCATGGGGTGATTTTTACTGTTCCCTGTCTGGTCTGTCAGAGCCACAAAGGGGCCCTCAGTGAAACAGAAGCTTCCCAGCTGAGTTCCAGCTGACCTCCACATACAGAAGTAACTTAGATTCTTCCAGAGTTTGGTTTCAGTAATGCAGATGTCCGGTTGTGCTGTGATAGTACTCAGGTATTGCGGTAAGTGGCTGGGTTTTCTCACTAAAAGGGAATACTGTAGTAGGTGCTAGATAGGTTCTTACATCCCCCGGCCACTCGGACGTTGTGTCCCCCCACCCACACCAGCTGTGCAGCCACTATCAGCCGCCTGTTTGGTTTCTCACCGCGGCGCATCCCTTGACCCTGCACCTCACAGGTGGGAATTGCACCTCTCCTCTCCCTCGAGGGGCTGTGGTGCCTTTATGTGCCCCCAGGAGCTTGTTCCCATGCCCCTGGGCGCCACTTCTTGGGAAACGTGGGTTTCCCTCGCGGGTGAGTTGTACCTACTGTAGAGTTCTGGTTTTTGCCAAAAGAACAAAATCAGCAACCGTTTTCCACCTGGTGCTTCGGGTGGTCTTCCAGCTCCGTCTGTCACGGTGAATATCCCAGTGCCTGCTGCTGGGTGTTGCTGTAATCCAGTGTGGAATGGGCTGCTGGCAGGGACAGAAATTAACTTGAGGAAAGCAAAGCCCAAGAGTTTCCCGTCCCCCTGAAAGCTGGATATTAAACCAGCTGCAGAGTTGCAGAGTTAATTAGAGAATTACAATTACAGAGCTGCTCGGAGGGTGCCACGGGCCCACCAGCCTTTATTCCCTGCTCCCCCTTCGTGTGGCGTCTCCCTCCCGGCGGCAGGCCCGGTACTCGGGCGCCGACCAAGGCAGGGGTCCCCTTCTCCCGGCAGCTCCGCCAGGACGTAAAAAAGATTTAAAAATTTAAAAAAAAAAAAAAAAAAGTAGTT